ACCACCTAACAGAGGCATCGAAATTGGAAACAGAATATAAGGGAAGGCTCCCTAAGAGTGATGATATCGAAGTTAAGACTCATCAAAGAATTAGTCAAAATGGAGTGAGAGAAAGAGTATTATAGAAAAGAGCAATAGAATATGCAAAGGTACAAAGTCAAGGTTTAGTTTACAAGAATGACAGCAAACTAATTCAGAATGGCTGGAGCATGCAACTCAAAATGGGCAACAGAAAATATAAAACTAAACAATATGCACGTCGTGAAAATGGTCATAAGCCATCACACAATGATTCTATGTTATCCTGAAGAGACTGCTGAGCACAAAGAGGGATCTGAAGAAGCAAATGGTATAATAAAATGTTCTTATCTGAAGAATTAGCGTTTTCTATATCAATATATACTTACAGATATAATCGTACATATATTTTCCCTTGATTTTTCTTTTTCTTCAATCCTGGAGTAATTCTTTCTCTAACACAGTATTATGATAGACCTTCCCTTATACCAAAAATAAAGACATTCCTTAGATGTAAACACATTCAAGACAAGCCAAAATCCTCATTTTAATCATTTCTCAGCCCAGCCACAGGGGAGCACTGTTTTAAAAGTATTCTAGATAATTGTGTATAAAGTGTAAAAGTGCTGTGATACCTCTCTCATTGGTTGTCCCCCTAAGTTGCGGTATTCTACAAACAGCTGCAACAGGCCTCACTCTGAGCTCAGAGTAACTCCTGCTGAGGAAGCCCGTTCAGAAACTGACCTGGTGCATTGATTTAGCTGGGGATCCAAGGCATGGAGACTCTCCTGAAAGTGCTTTCAGGCACTCTGTTGTGGCAGTTGGCATGTGAGCACACGATGCAGTCTTGGAGAGGCTTATGTGGTAGCCACATGTGAGTACACAGTGCAGTCTAGGAGAGGCTTATGTGGTAGCAACACTTTGAGGACAGCAATTGGATTTTCTTTCTGTCCTGGGGAGGGCCTTTGAGGAACTAGACATAAGAAAAAGTATGAGAGATATTCTTTAATTATGTGGTGATGTTTATGCTTTACATAAGAAAGGAGAAAAAACTCACTCTTTTCTTTTTAGACTGAGTATTCCCATGAAGATTTCCTGTGTCCTTAATTTATCTTTCTGATTAGGCTAGAGAAGCTAAGAAATTAAGTAGTCCTCAGTCCTTGATCATCCAAGGGGAAGATGTCACCATCACATGCAATTCGTCAAAGACTCTATGTTCCTTACACTGGTATCTTCAGAAGCATGGTGAAAGCCCTACCCTCCAGAGGGTGTTAATGAGAGATGGAGAATAAAAGAATCATGACAAAATAGTCGTCATATTTAATGAAAACAAGCAGCAGAACTCCCTACACATTACAGCCTCCCAGTCCAGTCACTCAAGCACCTGCTTCTGCGGATTAGAGAAACAATGATACCCAGGCCTCCAAATACTGTGCTCAGACCTGAAGCTGGGCCAAAGATACTCTCCTAGCACGTGGCTCCAAAGGGGCACTTACCAGAAGGCTCATCATGAAAAAAGAGAGACTTGAGGGAAATTCAATTGCTTTAACTTAAAATGCAATAAGTGGGCCAGTCTCTTAAGAACATTTCTAATTAAATATTATTTTCTCGATTGTTCTATAAGTGCAGGCTATGAGCTTAGATTAAAAAGAAAATCACATAAATTTCAGTTTCAGATACCAGAATGAATTACAATATGACTTAAGCTGCATATGCGAACTACTTTTGCAAATGTATTCCTTTGTGAAAATGCAAGGTTGCATCCCTTTCTTTTCCTAGGTATCCGCACCTTGTCATCATGGATATAGTAAAAGCACTAAAAAACAAGTCTTTTGTCTGGTTCCTTGTGGGGTATCAGAATTGTACAATGTTACATTGCCAATGTTGTCACTTGCTTGGAGAGGTAACTAGCAACATGTTTTCCCAAGGTTTTGAAACAAAGGGTCCTTATGACTTTAATTAATTTACATTTAAATCCTAGCTCTAGAAATCTCTCTCTCTCTCCCTTTCTCTCTCTCTCTCTCTCTCTCTTTCTCTCTCTCTCACCAAACTGAGCCTTTAATCTCTTCTGCACCTTCACCTCTACATTCTCAGCTAATATCTTCAAGAGGACAGGACCTTACCTAGGTTCCTCTCTGTATCATTGAAAGGTGGAAAAATTGCTTGAGGAGTTGCAATATACAATTTAATTTGCTCCTTTTCAATGCTTTATCAATTTCAAAGGATTTAAATTATATATCTACATACACACACACTTCTCAGAGACCTAGCCTTTTTCCTGGATAATCAGCAACTGCAGAGCTAGCAGAAGACAGTAGCCTAGACCTGACCAACGATCACGAGATCTGTACATCTGGGAGACAAAGATAACATCTTGATCTAAGTGATCTTCTGCTGAGCCCTAAGGTGAAACTACACCCTGGCTACTTTCCCATGACACCAGACAGAGGGATATCAAAACAGGCATTATACTTCCCCTACACACCAAGCAGTTCTCCAGACGTCAGCTGAGTATCCTACAATCCAGCTCAATTCTGACATTATCTACCTGGAGATAACATCAGGTCCCACAGGGTAAGGGCTCAGTCCTACAAGCCTGCCACCCACCCCCACTTCAAATACTGGTAGCAAGTTCAGGTTTTTCCATGTGCTTCTGACCCACAGGCTACAAATTGGAGGTAGCAACGATGACCTTCAACTCAGGATGCTAATCCTAAGTCCAGGTTGCTACCTGAACTTCTGGCTGACTGGCCATAAACAACAGGCTCCCATGACCTTCTCTTTAGTTCAATAAGTTTGCTTAAAAAAAAAAGAGGGCCCAGTAGAATTCAAAATACAGTAATTCGAGGAGCTAAATTGTCAGAGGCTCATAAAACAATAAGATTATTTCAGGAAAACTTGATACTTAAGTTAAGGACAGTTCTATTTGCAGGTTTTCTTCTTTCTGTTCCTTAAAGTGACATCACTGGACACCACTGTAAGAGCCATGTTAGGCTGAGTGAACCACCGTTCTTATTTGTGTTGTATTATCGTCTCTCATTACTTATCTCCATGGAGTTTTAACTTTAACGATGTTTATTCATGTGCCTTTACTCAGCAAGCATAATTCTGAGGAAGCTGGTGAAAAGAGATGTTTCTTACTAATAATTTATCTGTCTAAGATTTGTCATAGATGTTGATCCTGAAAGTCCAGAGGCTTCTGGAAAGGTTTATCACAAGTCTAGGGAAAAGTAAGATGATCATTCTTGTTCTCCTCAAATTTCCTGTAGAAATCTAAAAATAAAATGTAAATTCTGAAAATGACCCGGTAGTTATCATTATCATCTTAACAGTGGTGAGTGACCAGAAACTACGTATGTGTGTGTGTGTGTGTGTATGTGTGGTGCAGATTCCTTCAATACTGAGAGAGAGAGAGAAAGAGCTGTTACCCACTGCAGTTATATACAGAATATTTATTTCTAT